ATAATATTTTATAATATAATTTTATAATTTTATAATATATTATAATTTTATAATTTTATAATATATGTTAATCTTCTCACACAAAAATATACATACGCATCAACTGATCACGTTTCGCTAAATATTATTTATAGAAAGTTTTGATGCCAGATGTTGTATTCGAACGCGTGATAGAAGCAGAATGTAGAGTGATTCCCGCGCTGCCGGAAAAATGTCAACTAAAGCATGAACCCACGTGGCGAAAAGTGAAAGGTTCTACGGGAGAAGAATTTATCGTTATCAAAGAACTTAACGAAGAAAAATTGAAAACCAATCTTCAAGAACTATGTCGTTCGGGAATAAAGAGTCTCGCTGTCGCTCTAGTTCACAGCTTTGCGTTAGTATAAGTACAAATGTTTGAATCGAAGATGTTTTGTCAAAGTGACATTACTTAACTCTTTTAATTACACGCTTTTAATTATCACGATATAGATATCCGGATCACGAAATACAAATTGGAAAATTAGCGAAAGAAATCGGTTTCTTGCAAATATCTCTTTCACACGAGGTGATGCCGATGGTTAAAATTATTCCACGAAGTTTCACAACGTGCGCGGATGCTTACTTAACGCCGCACATTAAAAGCTATTTACAGGTGTGTGGTTTTACATGTGATATTACATATAAGAATTTTTGTTAAAATAAGTTTTTTTTTAGATCAATAATCGATATACTCTTTTAGACTTTCTCGTCAGAATTTCAAGATAAATTGAAAAACGTAAATGTACTGTTTATGCAAAGTGACGGCGGATTAACACCTATGAATTCGTGAGTAAACGTTATTTAAAACACTTACATCTAAGAAAGAAAAGAAATGCGTACTAATAAAACTTATTATAAACAAACTTTTTTTTATATTTTGTTGCACAATTAAAGATTCAGTGGTTCTCGTGCTATATTGTCTGGACCAGCCGGTGGTGTTGTTGGATACGCAATTACGACTTACGGGAAAGAGACGGATTTGCCAGTGATTGGATTTGATATGGGCGGTACATCGACCGATGTAAGTCGATACGCAGGAAGCTACGAACATGTTTTCGAAGGCATGACGGCGGGTATTGTTATACAAGCTCCGCAGGTATATTATTTTTTTTTTAAATAATTAAAATATAAAAAAAGTTAATTAAAGCAAAGACTTTGTTGTTTAAATCAAAAAACTTGGCTTCAAGTTGGATATCAACACAGTCGCGGCCGGAGGTGGATCGATGCTTTTCTTTGAGTCAAATCTTTTCAAAGTTGGACCTGAAAGTGCAGGAGCCGATCCCGGACCCGCATGTTACAGGAGAGGTGGCCCACTAACCGTGACAGATGCAAATCTCTTACTGGGTCGCTTGGATGTCGATTCCTTTCCCCATATATTTGGACCTGAGAGAAACAAGCCTTTGGATGTAAATATTGTGAAGAAATTGTTTGATGAACTTACTGAGAAGGTAATTTTCTATAAGATCTATACATCGATAGTTTGTGAAAATTAAATTAGATTTTATATAATATAAAAATTATTATACTATACACTAAAAGTACGCTCACATTATAATTTTGAAATTATACTATATTGTATTATATATTATTTATACGTTGTATTATGTATTGTATTATATATTATTTATATGTTGTATAGATTAATAAACATCATAAAAATATAATGACACCCATTCAAGTGGCAATGGGATTTATCAAAGTCGCAAACGAGACTATGTGTCGGCCAATACGCGCTTTGACGGAGGTACAATTAGACTTAGTATATTTGAAAATAATCCGCTCATATATACAGTTCTCTAAGTACTATAATAATTGTGCTAGTAATGAAAGAGCATTAATTTCGTAATATTTTCCAACAGGCAAAAGGTCACGATACTTCTCATCACGTTTTGGCGTGTTTCGGCGGCGCCGGAGGACAACACGCTTGCGCGATAGCCCGGACATTGGGCATCAAAACAGTATTCATTCATAAATATGCCAGTATTTTGTCCGCTTACGGTATGGTGTTGGCGGACGTTGTTGAAGAAATCCAAGAGCCAAGCGCCGAAGTTTACTGTGAAGGTAAATTTACGGTAACACAATGACTCTCGATCGCTTTGCGTGTTTTCTGAATTTTACGAGTTGATTTTGCGCATACAGAAAGCTTCGCTCTCCTGGATAATCGCATGGACGAGATGGAAACTAAAGTTCGAAAAAAACTTCGTGCCCAAGGATTCGCTGATTCTCAAATACACATCGAACCGTTTTTAAATTTACGCTACGAGGGAACCGATTGCGCATTAATGTGCAGTCCCGAATGCGAAGATATTACGAAGATAAAAGCGGGAAGCGCCACAAGACGCGGAGATTTCCTTGCTTCGTTTTTAAAGAGGTACGCTTTTTATTGTCGAAATATCTTTTTTAATTATTTATCTGTTGAATTTTTTTGTTAAATAAGGTATAAGACAGAATTTGGTTTTACCATATCAGGGCGCAAGATTTTGGTGAACGATGTGAGAATTCGAGCGGTTGGTAAAACTGACATTATGGATGATCCTGCAACCTCTCTTTCCGAAGATAAACCACAATTTGAAAAGGTACAAATAAAGCTTTTAAGTTGTTACTCCGTTTGAGTTTTAAAACTAATTGTGCGACAATTTTAGAGAGAAAAACATCTAAAAAATATAATTGTTCCAGCTCGTCAGTATATATTTTGAAGACAGTTACCGACATGACGTTGGCGTCTATAAGATGAAATCTTTATTACCTGGAAACACTGTACAAGGTCCTGCTCTTCTCATTGATAACATGAGTACAATTTTGGTGGAGCCTGATTGTACCGCGTGTGTTACTTCGCGCGGAGATGTAAAAATTACGATTGGCAAAGGTCCGATATCGCAGATCAGCACCGATCTCAACACTGTTCACCTCAGTATTTTCTCTCATCGATTTATGAGCATAGCTGAACAAATGGGCCGGTGTGTATATCAATTTCAAAAACAAGTCGAGAAAAACAAGTTCTTGAGATTTATATTAAAAATTGCGAAATAATATTTTTGTTTTGATCTTCTGAGGCAGAGTGCTTCAAAGAACCGCAATCTCTACCAATATAAAAGAACGCTTGGATTTCTCGTGCGCGATTTTTGGTCCCGACGGTGGCCTCGTTTCAAACGCACCTCATATTCCGGTGCACTTGGGTTCCATGCAGGAAACCGTGCAGTACCAAATAAAAGCGTTTCAAAACTCATTCAAGAAAGGAGACATGATTCTTTCAAATCATCCGAAAGCAGGCGGTTCTCATCTTCCGGATCTAACGGTTATCACGCCAGTATTTTACAGGTATGTAAAAAAATAATTTATATTGGGGATTTTATTTATTTGTGGTTTTTTTTTTTCTAACAAGACACTGTGTGTACATATAGATATCTACCATCGCCTGTGTTCTTCGTCGCTAGTAGAGGTCATCACGCTGATATTGGTGGTATCACGCCCGGGTCGATGCCACCGCATTCGAAATCTTTAAGTGATGTATGAGAGAATATCATTCTGAATAACCGAAGTTTAGAAATAAATCATATATAAGTAAATTTTTCAAAAGTGTATTTTTTGTGACACAGGAAGGCGCTACTTTTGAAAGTTTCTTACTAGTACAAGATGGAGTGTTCCAAGAAGAGGCACTGACGAGAGCCTTCATGGAGCCAGGCAAACTGCCAGGAAATTCGGGAACTCGAAATCTCGAGAACAACATCAGTGATCTCAAAGCTCAAATTGCGGCAAATCAAAAAGTAACGCTCATTCTTCCTTATTGCAAAATGTAATAGCTTATCTTTGCGATAATTTACGATTTATTGTATACATATCAAATATAAAACTAAAGTTTTAATGAAAATCTGATATAACGATAGTCTCGTTGTGAATATATATTAATCATATTCGTATCATTAAACTCGAAACTACACGTTCTTTGAATTCTTTTTAGGGTATAAAACTGGTAAACGAATTGATAGAATTTTATAGTCTCGAAGTGGTGCAAGCGTATATGAATCACATCCAACGCGCAGCCGAAGATGCCGTTCGAGAAATGTTCAAAAAGAAAGCGGCAGAGATCAGCAAAAATTTTACAGACACCATATATGGTTCTGACTATCTCGATGACGGAAGTTTGATTGCGCTACGAGTGAAATTCGACGCAGAGACCGGAGAAGCTGATTTCGATTTTTCGTACGTTCTGATAAAAAATGACTTTGTTAGTATCGGAATTTAACTATAATTTATTAGATAATATTGTATCGTGTTTATATTTGCAGGGGAACGAGCGAAGAAGTGTTGGGTAACTGGAACGCACCGCGTGCAATAACCATGTCCGCGATAATTTACTGTTTGAGATCTATGATCAATAAAGATATACCGCTAAATCAGGTAATAAATAATTTCCATCGAGACCGTTTTTTGCTAAGCTTTAATAATAAATTATCAAACAAGTCTCATTCTCTTTGTAGGGATGTTTGAATCCAGTGAGGGTAAAAATTCCAGCGGGATCGTTGCTCGATCCCTCAGACGGAGCGGCCGTAGTGGGCGGCAACGTTTTGACATCTCAGCGTATTGTTGACGTGATTCTACGAGCTTTCAACGTTTGCGCGGCCTCGCAAGGTTGCATGAATAACGTAACCTTCGGCAACGAAGAATGGGGCTATTACGAGACCGTTGCCGGTGGTAGCGGAGCGGTAAGATCATCATTGGAGATAACTATAAAAAAATAACAATTAAATCTTATTGAAGCTCGATAAGTTACTAAACTACGAAATATATTTACGCGCGCGGTCATACGAGCCGATCGCAGAATGTTGTGCGGAAAACTGCGTATATATATAATAATAATATATATATATATAATAATAACTGCGTATATATATATATATATATATATACGCAGTTTTCTGCACAACATCCTGCGATCGGCTTGTATGACCGTAAATATATTTCGTAGTTCATAAAAAAATAGTTGTTACTATCGTTAAAATCAATTTTAACATTTGTTTCAGGGATTCATGTGGCAAGGTAAAAGTGGCGTGCACACGCACATGACCAACACGAGAATTACCGATCCGGAAATATTAGAACTTCGTTATCCGGTTGTACTTAAAATCTTTAAAATTCGAAAAGGCAGCGGTGGTAGAGGATTGTATAGAGGTGGCGACGGCGTAGTGCGTGAAATAATGTTCAGGTTATTATAAAAACTATCTATTAAAACTTTATATATATTTACTCTTTGTAGAAGAGAGAGAGAGAATACAGTTTTTTTTCTACTGTTACTTTTATACACTTGAAGTTCTGTTGTATATTTATCTACATAGGGCTCCGGTTACATTATCCGTGTTAACCGAGCGAAGAGTAATACAACCATACGGGATGTGCGGAGGAGAAAATGGACAGTGTGGCAAGAACTATTTAGTAATAGGCGAAAAGAAGTTTTATTTAGGTCCAAAGTCGTGTACTGAGGTCAAACCACATGTGAGTAATTTTAAGCAAACTATTTTCGAAAATGAAGTTTTTTTTCAACGTACTTTTTACACTTAAAGAGACTAGGTTTTTCTGATAATTTTTGAAATACTAAAAATATTCAAAATTTACAAAAGATTTTTCTCTCTGTTCTAGCTCGATTTTATCTCGATTTTTATTTTTGCATTTCTGTGTTTTAATTATTATACTACTTATTTCCCAAACACATTATTATAAAAAATATAAATCAAAAAATTGATGAAAAAAATGATAACAAAAAAAGAATTATGATGAAAACTTGGCGTAACTCTCTGTGCACATCAATCAACGCCGGACTTTCCGTAAGATTCTTTTCGAAGTTACGGAAGCACGAAAGTCGGCGGCGACTGATGCGCTTTTTCGTGTTTACGAATATATCGCAACAGTTAGCGTCGTCAAGTCGGTGCAAATATATTATGTCAAAAAATATACCGTTATCTTTTACCTTCTTTCGTTAGTCTTCGTGTCTCTTCCCGTTTTATCTGCTCGCGTTCGCGAGAGACCTGCCATTCGTCGAAGCTCTTCATTTTAATCTTCTTTGAATATCTTTGTACCGTGTGAAACGAATTCATGGGTGGCGAGAAAATTTCTATCTTTTCTCGTATTTGAAAACCATGGGACGAGATTTTTTTTCGTTTGTGATCTTTGTAACTGAAAAATATTTCGCGCGTTGATAATTTGCGCATTTCAATAAAAGCGGATTGATGCATAATTCACTGAAAGAAAATCTCGCAAAATTGCGGACATTTTTTTTGCGTTCTCACATTTTATTGAAAACGTATAGACCGAGAGATTTCATGGACAAGATCAAACAAAAATTTCGAAAAATTTTGATAACGTTATTTTGTGGCGCGATATCACATCGAAGTTTCGATGGAATAGTTTCTGGTGGTTTGGTCGATAGTTTGGGATGCACATAGTCCCGCACGTACAAAAACTTTTAATTATATAGGGTACACCGCTTGTGTGCTCTTCATACTTGTCGCTTCTCACTGCAATTTAATAATTAGAAACTTCTAATTTAATGATATATAATAAGTTTACTTGTTGACCGAATTCTCTACATTAAGATATATCGATATAACCACACTCTATATTTATAATATTTTTATAGTGTACACAATTATATATTTATACGTATTATAATATTATAATGAAGGTTTTAATGACTTTTCCATAGGAATCGTTTTTTATGCTTACTCCGGGTGGTGGTGGTTACGGAATCGAACAGCCAAGTGAAGATTCTACCTGTAGTGAATCTACCACAACAAAAGAAAAGATATTCAAAGATTTAAAGCAAGTACGTTCCAGTGGAAGTCTGTCTCAGTACCGTCAAATTCAAGAATCTGCTTAAGAAGATTTCGTACAATAAAACATTTTGTAAATAATACATTCCGGAGTATCTTTTTCTACAAAGTTTTTACGTAGTACAATAATTGTTAAGAAATGTGTGCCACTCAAATGTATTGTTAGTATTTGTAATATTAATCATTTTATATTTTTTGCTTTACGGGAAAAAAAGTAATTTTCTTATATCTCAAAAACTTACACATAAATTGTTGTGTATAAATTGTGTAAAACAGATTATTGAAAAAATATATATTTTTATTAAGATTCATTATAGTTTTGCTAATTGCAGTTTTAATATGAGATCTGGGATCGGTCAAAGAAAACAGTTCCTCATAGAACTTTCAGGAAATTACACACGTCTTCCATATAACATATATGGAATATTGTTTTTTTTTTATGTTAAAAATATTCTACTCTAAATATTATATAAATACATAACGCGATATATACATTGATCCATCTTAAAATAGAAAATCCGATTAACATAAACTTAATAAAAATGTTTGTAAAGTAGATATTTGCAAATACAGTGTTTTTTTCTGTGAACTTTTCCGATTAAAATGTATAGCCGTGCGTTTATAATCTTCAGATTTTTGTATTATTTAACTACTTCACAACTTCCGAATCGATTGATTCCTCTCGTTCTCGAGGAATCGCCAATTCCCCAGAGGAATTAAATCTCTGCGGTTAATTTCCGCGATTTATCAGTCTGTTCGATTTGCGGCAAGTGCAAAATGGCTACCGTTTCATTTCCGGCAGCAGTAATTACTGACCGAAATGTCATCTCGTTGACCTACATAGTGATGAAATTATGATTGTGTTTCCATAAAAAAAAGATGCTGAAGGACAAGTTGCGCGCTCTCTAGAAAAAGACTTTTTTCTTATATACGCGCAAAGTTTAGTGTGTTATAAAAAAATTAATTTTGAAAATTATAAAAACTACCGCTGCAGCGCACGTACGTGAGTGAACATAAAATATTAATATATTCCTGCCGTTGTATGAGATATTTCTCGATGAGGAAATATCTTTCGCGCGACTGGCGTATATCACACAGCGATTCTGTGCAATTATTCCCGTTGTTGAATAAAAGCAATGTGAAATCCAGAGGATAGTGTCGCTCGTAAAAAGAGCGACGGAACTCATAGCCGAGAGACATCGATCGATACTTTACAACGAAATGAAAATCGGAATGGATACTTGCGAGCGGAGACAAAGCACGCGGAATGCAAAAATTTTCCGAACAAGTTTTTATGGCGCACGAAGTTGTTGCGGCAGACTACTACCGGAATCGCGCGCGGCGCTGTTCTCGAAGAGAATCGCGTCTCATCGAGATTACACCGCTTGAAACTCTTATAGCACCGCATGCTCTTTATGGGCTCGAGAGTTTCTCCTTGATTTCTCGTCGGTAGGTTGGGGCGATGTTTCCCTCTTCGCGCCGTACTCGGCTGTACGGCGGTCACAAGAGACCGTGATATTGGACGTGATGTTATTAAAGAACATGATTTTTCTATACTTTACAATTTTATCATTTTAGATCAGCTTAAAATGTACGTTGAAAATTTGATGTAATAGAACAATGATAAAGACAATTGCGTATTTTAAGAAAGTGTAAATAAATTGTATGAACGCAGAGGAGATTTATAGTATCTTTCTAATATTTTTAATTTAAGTTCGGATAATTTGAAGATACATAAAATACGTTTTCCTTTTTTTTTTAGAGAATTTTTAGAGAATTTTTTAGAGAATCAATTGTAATTTGCTTTAATTATTTTTCTCCTATACACGTATATTTGAAAAACAAAAAAGTCATTTTACATTTTACATATTTAAACAAACTGCCGTAATAAATAATTTAATATTCACAACTTATAAAATATTAGTAATTACTAAATTATTATATTTTGATGCGATAATTGTTACAATTAGTAGAATTCATAAATTATTATGTATGTTTGTAATAAACTCTACCACATATATTAGATTTTAATAGCAAAAACATATTTTATGATATCTAATTATGATACTACGATATAACCGTGTGTAAAACGTCGAAAAGTTTCGTCACGTAGCGCGCTGCGTGGCTCTGGCACAACTATGCAACTCATCAGGGCATATTGAGCACGACACGGGATGCGAAACGGGAAGAGTTTGCTTGTTTGAAACAGTCCTGACAGTCACACGTCACGTCTTGGACATCCGCTAAATTGCACGCGCGTATACATGATCTGATATACAGACGCGAACGGAAAAAAAAAAAAAGAAACTTAGAGAAAAAACGAGAATAATATACATCTATATATCGAGAAATGTGTAGAGAGAAGCAACTTGGCGTAGGAGAAAGATATTCATTTGCATTGTCTGCGAACGTTCGGTATCCCTCGAACGATGCAAATTCGTCGGTTTGTTTTGTTTATCGACAAAAGTTACGAACTTTCGCGGAAAAATACACGTACAAAATTGGCACAAAAAATTAGCACAGCAAATTTTGTTGAAAATAGAACGGCGTGTGTGTTGTGTTTCATGTGCGCCAGGATAAATAGAAACGGCGGCGAGATACGAAAATCACCCGGAATGGAAGTAGTATTGCCTCGTGAAGGCATTGTTGCAGAGCGACTTCTATATCGTCAGCTTTTTCTTCCGTTCTTTCAAAATGGTTTTGTTTTTTATTTTTCCCACTGTTTCGACACAAAATATCTCCAGCTTGGCTTTATTTTCACGAATCGATCCGCCTTTTCGATCTACCTCACCTTTTTCAACTTTTGAAAATAACAAAGTTGAAAAAGCCGAAGAGAATTGCAGACAATACAAAAAGTAATTAGCACACACGCGGCTAATTTCTGTACATTTTAAAAACAATCGAGAACTGCTGACGATTTTCAATTTTGTTTGCGTTTACATACGAAGAAACCAACTTGTATTTTTGCCAAAAGAGGTTAACGTTTCGGTGCGACTAGACTCGTTAAGATTTCTCTAAGAGGATGTCTTCTAACACGAAACTGTTTTGGTCGTTAATAAAAAATCTGAAACTACCAAGACGAAATATTAAACAAGATAATCAATGTAACGGAGATAAAAAAGACTGGAGGTTTACATTGAGAAGGTACGCGTTTGAATGGGCGGGATACAACGCGTACGGACTTTACACGCACGATGTTATAAATTACGATCATCCCGTTGTACGCGAAGCTTTGCGTCGATTACCGAAGGATGTGTTGGATGAAAGAAATTTCAGGTGAGCTTGCGGATCTTTCATAACAACAAAATTTAATATACACCTTTTAATTGTCCGCTTCTTTAAGTGATCCAAAGAGTTTTTCCGCAAACTCTCTTTGAGCGCAGAGAGAGCTTTATAGTTCCTTTTCATTCAAGATGAATATGAAGTTTTGAATATAAAGTTGCGCATGCACCGGCTAGAACGAAAGCGGTCGTCGGATGCGTCAGCGTGTTGTATAACGCTTCAAAGAAGCGCCGGGGATGCTGCTTTTATCAAATGTTAAATTTTATCAAGTGCTAAATTCGCTTAGCAGGGTCTTTAATTTAAAGACTCGGTTGCCGCGACCGCTTGTTTTTTCCACGAGCACAACTTTTTGATACGCGACGGTTTTTACGCGACGAGTCACAATCTAGTTCCAACGCGACGCCCGAGATTTTCTAAAGATTTTCACAGAAGGTGCGAATTAGTGTGTGAGAGAGAGAGAGAGAAAAAAAATTCAGCATTTTTTTGTTTTTACTTTACGAGTTCCAAGAAGTGTGTGTTTTTTTTTGCCAAGTCGATTTTTCAGTTAAGCCACTCGTATGTTTCTCGAACGAGAGCACGTAGGTAAGGTAGTGCTGGTTTTGCATGCTTTGCAGACTCATACGCGCCATGCAGCTGAATTTTCTGAAGACACGCTTGCCCAGAGAGAAGTGGGTCACGTACGAGCAGGATTTAGAGTATCGATATCTTCGCCCGTACATAGACGAGATCCATGCCGAGCAAGATGAGATATATGAGTTTGGCGGCTATAATTACAAAGATAGCGATTGGCCGGCCGGTGAAGTGAAATAAGAGATCCGATGTATATATACGCGTGTTGTAACGAATGTTGCATGGTAATAAAAACACAAACATGAAAAATTTCAAATTAATAAAGAAGAATAAGATACTTCGAGGCTCGTAAGGATTTAAACTAATGAATGACTTAAATTCGGGTTGAGTGAGCCGAAAAAAATTATTTCGTTAAATATACACCGAAAAAATTGTATTCTCGTTTTGAGGAGAGTATCCTACTTACTTTAAGTATATTTTATACTAAAATAGGCGCCAAGAAGAGTTTCTTATTTTAAGAGGAAAATCCTCTAAATAGTAATATTGATAAGAATATATACTGATTAGAATATAAAAAAAGCCTCTATAGAAAAAAATATATATCTCACTATCGAAAAAGACTATATTCTCAAATTAAGAATATATTCTTAAATAAAGAATATATTCTTAATTTCAGAAGAATATCATCTAAACTCTTTAAGAAGATTTTTTAAGTATAAAATCTTCTACTTACAAGAATATAATTTTTTCGGTGTATGTGTATGCATATATGTATATATATATATATTTAAGCACATTCTCTGCCAACATCCTGCAAACGGCTCACACAACCCGAATTTAAGTCATTCATGAGAAATTTCATTAAATATTAAAAATTCACGAGATTAAATGTAATTGTCGAATTAAAGTGTATTTTACTTTATTTTTTTTCTTACGTACGAAATAGAATAGTGAGCCAGCGATGAAATAAATGCACAGGAAAAAAAAAGTATAAAGTTGAAAATTCTTTAATTTGATAAATCGTATCTGGATATTTGGAATATGCGATTTACAGTCCGACAAATTTGTATAGCGTATCGTATATAGCGCATTGATCCTCAATTCGCATTCGCGTATTACAATGAGAAACGTATAATTCGTGGATTTGTTTGCGCGGAGTTTACGATGAATGGCGGAAAAGCGTGACTTCGCTTTGCAAAGCAAAATAAATTGTTGTACGTCATCACGTGTATACTTGGCAGCTACTGATTTTCGAACTTCGAGACGAGATTTATTTTTGCAAAATTCCGTATCTTAACAAACAGCGGCAAACAATACACAATTTGTTTTACTTGAAAACAATTCGAAGCAGTTCAATTTTACTTAATATTAATATAATTTTATTTACATGTTGATCCTATCTACACGTTTTTCTCCGCCTTTTATCTAACTAAATAAATCTATAAAGTATAAAAAGATACTTTGTGTTTATTTTATTTTTAACAAAAAATATTCTCTCACGGTACGTCGATCATCGCGACAAACTTCTCTCATTTCTGGTCGACAGAAGTTTCTCAAGTTTGCGTAATTTTTTTTTTTCGCTAGTACGAAAGTGGAAGTCAGTCTTCTGATGTCTTGGGCTATTTAATGTTCGATCGAGAGAGTTGGCAAATTTCCTGGTTGTTTCAACGGCTGTGACAGTACGGCGTTGCGTTTTAGGTTTTCTCACGAAGAGCTTCGAGTTAATCGCGGTAACGCACGACTGACGTCGACTTTAAGAGTTAAAGCGGAGTCGTAAAAAGTTAGGCCGCGGTGGCACCCGCACTCTTATCGCGAGTTAACCGATACTTGGTAAGCTCGCGTTCTGAATTCTTTATGATCTCGCGAGCCTCGCGGAAATGCGGGTCGAATAAGAACGCGGAAAACGCGTTTACGCCTGCCAAGATATCGTATTCACCGTACGAGCGGCGAGTTTTTTCTTACAAAAACGAGACAATACGTGTACCAGAATAAGTATACTTTTTTTTATTTTTTGCACAGACTTCGCACATTTAAATTATACAAGCACATACGTACAAAGAAAATAACTGTTAAATTCTACAATTTTATTTTTGACATTTCTTGACCGAAGCGTTGAATTAAGCAAGTATATAAGCAAATTTGAAAAAAAAAAAAAAATAAGACTGAAGTAATACCTGTGTGTGAATCTTTTTATAATGAAAATATTATAAATCTACTAAAAAGTTCGCTGGAAGATTTTTTAAATTAGTCTTAGGATTATCGCCTTGAAAATAAAGTTTTCGAAATAAAGTACCGTTCTCTCTTTGCATTTTCTCGCCTCTTCCTTTCTCTTCTCTCTGCCAGCGTAAGATCGAGCGAGTATGAGTAATTTTCTAGAGTACCGGGCGGAAGGATTTGCGCGCTTATTCAGCCAGAAACAACGCTGAACGATGTTAATTCCCGGTTCCCTCTCGGACATTTAATACGCGCGCGAAGCGCTTTCAACGACCGGAACACTACACTAAGACATTTCGAGAGAAAGAGATCAAGAGCGAAGGAGAAAGAGGGAAAGAGAAAAAGCGCACAGTGCGCTCATTCGATAACTCGATAGATCTAACGACGACACCTTAGATAATGACTGACGGTATTCGCTTCAATTGCGTCCGCTTCATTTAATTTGCCGCTTTGTCCGGCTCGTGTCAATGGTGAATCGTGTTGAATTAAGAAGGTTATCAATTTTCTCTCTCTCTTTCTCTCTCTTTCTTTTAATTATCTATCTCTTTTTCTCTATCTCTAGAATATTTTAAAACTAAGTAAACTTAGAAAAATATAAAAGTAAAAAGACAGGTCTGATGAATCTTAGAAAATATTAAAAGATCATAAAAAAAGTTGCTCTTATCTTGTCTAAAAAAATGATCTATACACTAATTAGCAAAAAGAATTGAAAACAAAAGAGTTTTTGCACAAAAATCAAACATTAAAATACCAAATGAATAACAAAACTATAAATTCTTTACTGACTAATTTTTTTTCAATGCAATTTATTTTTTAATAGAATTTTAACTTACCTCGGAATTATACGAAGATATACGAGACTACTAAGAGTTATAAAGTTGCTCTAAATCGAAATAATATGATCTCTCCTTCAAAACTTCAATTACTTTTCTTTATTTTGTACAAACAATATAAAAACCGGAAAATTTATGTTGCGATAATAAACAAAGTAACGACTAACATATCTAATTTTTTGTCTTAATATATATATATAAGTAATGACAAATTAATTATTAATATAATTGTTTCTTTCAATGCTTTCCTGCTTCCTCGTTGGTGACTTTATGAGTTTATATACACTGACGGATATGAATAGAGCGCACGAGAAGAGCTTCGTGAGAATCTGCAACAGGCGTTTTATTGCAAAGCGTATAGTTGCGGTTTCTGAACCAACCTGCTCTTGCACCAAGTGCTCGAATTACTTTTAGCGTTCACACGAGAAAATACAAGCTTTCTCGATGGCTCTGGTTGGCGTTTCGTTGAGGTTGCACGATGACGAAGTTTCGCAGACAACGTGCGAGGTGTTTAATTTGTATAAATAGAACTAAAGAGAATGAAAACTCTTGAGAGATACGAAATTGCAAGGACAAATAAATGGCTTGCAGTAAAATTCATCGGCTTTGTCAAATTCCTTTAATTTAATTACAAGCAAGTAAAATTGCCAACTGTTGTGTTTCTGCAAACTATATAGAATTCAGCTACCAGGTTAACATTTAACTAATGGCGTTAATATTGCAAAGGAACGTCAGTGCAATTTGATACAACAATTGTTGCACTGAAAAAATTGTATTCTTGTTTTAAGGAGATATCCCACTTACATTAAGTATATTTTATACTAAAATAGGCGCCAAGAAGAGTTTCTTATTTTAAGAGGAAAATCCTCTAAATAGTAATATTGATAAGAATATATACTGATTAGAATATAAAAAGCCTCTAAAGAAAAACATATATATCTCACTATCGAAAAAGACTATATTTTTAAATTAAGAATATATTCTTAATTTCAGAAGAATATCATCTAAAATCTTTAAGAAGATTTTTTAAGTATAAAATCTTCTACTTACAAGAATATAATTTTTTCGGTGTGCCCGTAGTTATCATTCACTTCCATCTTTCGTCAATGACGATGCAAATAAAATTTCGACAAATCATACAATATGGAGAAACGCGATACTCGCCATTATCATAATGTTTTATGTATATTATTGTTGAAACAAACTTTGTACATTACATAATTTTAGATTATTATATATATATATATATATATATAAAATAGTTCTGTTTAGTTTCATGTACAATGTTTTTATTTGTAAATTTTATGTTTTCTTAAAACTACATGTACTTAATTAGTTTTTACTTAATTTCGAGAACAAAGTCTTTTCATTTAATTTTTAAGTAACTACGAAAAATGTTGTAAAGAAGATTATAATTATGAAGATCACGTTTTGAGAACATTTAAGGAATCAAAATGTTATCAAATTTGATAACAACTTGAGATTTATCGAGCGTCGAATTTCAGGTGCTTGCAGCGGCTGACAGATAAAAATATCTCGATTGAGATCAAACGACTTTTCGATAACACGTTGACGGTTGGAAACATTGCGGGTAATCTGATAGATTCTGATATTATATCGAAATGGTGTACACCAAATCTCTTTGAGCGTGACCACAGACGAAGGTTTGGTACACCATAATGTGATCTGAAACTTTGAGACATATATATCGATTGGATTGCTATGCGCCGCATAATGGTAAATGCAACAGTTCTGGCGTTGATGTTCCAATACCGCGGTGCACTTGTTGTGTGTGTATTATATATATTCTAGCAATTGAAATAAACTTTTACCACACATCTCTCTCACACATATGCAATTTATTTATTAAAATAAACCGGCAAAGTTTTTAATAAAATCTACTTTTCCAAGGTCATTACGCAACGAAAAATTATATACGGATATATAGTGTGAAATTAGATTTCTGATGTGTGCAACTACTTGGAAATTTTCACGTAACACAGCTTCGTGCTTTTAAACTCACATACACATAAGCAACGAATATTTTTCTCGCGCCACATGTAAAGAGAACGTTTTCCAACAATGCTCTTTAGTTACCGGGTTTTAGAGCAGTTCTTTAATGCTACAAAAAAATTGCACTTTTACTGGCACACCACTAAACACACGGCGAGAAAGTGCAGAACTAAACTGAATTTTCTCTCTCTCTCTCTCTCTTGTTTCTTTTGCCATACTCCGAATTAAGGTTTCTAGAATATTAGACCCGTACGTTTAATTCTATACGTACCCGTATGTTCGGTTGCGCGTAATGACTCTTGCTCACAGAACGCGGCGTCAATCAACG